TATCATGAAGCTTAATTTTATGATGTAAACTTTAGGTCATATATCTTAATTTGCCCACAGGGATTAAGATAAGGAACATGATCTCTTAAGTTTTTTGTCATAATGGTTGTAATTTATCTAATTGAATTAAAACTTTAGCCCACATGCAAGTTTTATGTCACTAGATTCTTCAACTCATTTGATAATTGGTTCATCATAAAATTTCAGTTGGATCTAATTGAGTAAAACTTTAGCCCACAGGCAAATTTTATGTCACTAGATTCTTCTGGCTATTTAGTAATTGAGATAAAATACTATCATAAATGTTTAATTGGATTTAATAGAATTAAAACTTTAGCCCACAGGCAAGTTTTATGTCAATAAATTCATCAACCCATTAGATAGTAATTTTATCTCACTTTCTTAGAATTTATAAATTTAATTATAATTCTAAGTTTCATGGTTTGCATTGGCAAAACATGTATTTAGTCACTTTCCAAAATTTAGATACACCTTTTATTAATTATTTTTCACGGAGCTTACTTGGTTATTTGGACTAACTATAGTAAGTTGCGTGGTATGATATATCTCTTATGGATTCCAATAATAAAATATATCTTCTGAGCCGAATTCCAACTTGGTTTTGGAAGGCGTATTTTATTATTTTAGTATGTCCAACTATGGTGGAGAATCATGTCATCATTAATTATTCATTTAGTTGGACTATAATTGAAACCAAATATTGATTATTTAGTATGCCCAACTAATGGTGGAGAATTATATCTTCATTATTTAGTTGGTAAAATCAATTATGAGTGTTATATCATTAATTTGGCTAAAGAATATCTTAATCAGTGGGAGTGATCATTTAGGAAATATCATTAAGATACTCCACTAAAGTTGATGGATTTAGTTATTTTCATACATTTCAAATTGGATTGTGCGTCTAGTAATAAGTCCAAAAAGTTTCCACAAGTATTAATTTAGTCTTTTGTTCTTATAATTCATAAGTTCATTTCATTGAACGTTTGGTTATACAAGATATTTCTGAAAATGTTGTAACAATATTAATGAATTTATTAGAACGAAAACATTTAACTTGTGGTGCACTGCCAATTAATAAATTCTTTAGCAATTAACAGAGTCTTTAGTTTCTTCAAAATTGATCCTGGGTCATTTTTGGTTTGTAAGGCTCAAAATAATTTTGTAAGACATAATAAGACTCGTAATGTTCAATTAATTTCGAGGTGAACCTTGAGATTATTTGGGAAGTTGGTGTATGTTTAAGATTCCAAATAATTGACTTAGACCTTATGGTTTATGTTATTGGAATGTTTCTATGACTTGACTATCTTTTGGCTATCTTAATGAGTGGGAGTGACAGACGTGTCAACTCCAAGCTCTTAGCCGTTAGAGGTAGTCTTTATGTAAACTTATAAAGAAGTCATGGAATATAGTTAGCATTATGCTAACATTAAGAGATCTCTACTTAAGGCATGCTTCTAAGATTTTAGAGATCATACAGTGAATTTGGATGGTTTCTTCTTTCAGTTGTGCACATAATATATTTTGAGAAACATCTCTTAAGGGACTAAGAATAAACGTAGGGTTTATTCAAAAAGAACCTAAGTTAGGAAATTTAAAATGCATGTGGTCATAGAAGATATTACTCACTTGATTAGTAGATGACGTATTACTATGGTTCGTGTATTTTGTTCTTTAATGAAGGTTGTGCCAGTACTTGCACCAAGTGGGAGAATGTAAGTATTTTTCCTAATATAATATATTACTAGTAATTCACCCGCGCGATGCACGGGAAAAAATTATGCTATTATAAATATAAAAAAAAAAACTAAAATATTTTAAATTATTTAATATAATAATATTTTTGAACTTCCATTGGTCAAGTATTTATTATTTTTATAGAATACAAAATTACAATTAAAATTAAAATTATAATTGTAATTATAATTAAAATTATAATTATAATTTTGTATGGTTAATATAGTGTCTAATTATGTGCATATTCAAATAAACTTATAGAGAGAATTTACATAATTAAATTGATTTATTCTTAATTGTATTTCATCAATATTATAATTTTCACAATACGAATAATAACTAAGATAATTACATTTGGAAAGCAAATTTCAAATTTTGTATGTGTAAATTTAAATTCTAATTGAACACATTTTTTATATGATTATATAATATATAGCTATTTTATTTTTCAAAAGTATATTTTTTATATGATTATATAATATATAGCTATTTTATTTTTTAAATGTTGTTTTTTATTTTATTTTTTTTTATATAATAAAGGATGTTGTGGCATTAATTGTAACATTAATTATTTCCCAAACCACATAGCTTTATTATATAAAGGATAATATATTGTATTAATTAAGTGGTTGTGGTGCAAGTGGAAGATTAAGTCAGTTAGTGGCTTAATTTGTTAGACAACTCAGGATATTCAGTTAAGCTTTAACTGAATATCTGCCTACGTTGATGGGATGTAGGCTTCTAAGCAAAATAGTCCTCCCACAGCTCCCGTGTTCAGGACACGCACCATCGAGTATTCTGGAGAGAAGTGGTAGACAAAATACTAGCCTTTATTCTGCAGGTTTACTATCTTGTGGCAATACTAATGACTATGGCTGGGGATATTCAGGCGATCCTAAAGCTTCCGCTACTACGAGACAGGTTACTCGTTACTACAATTCATGTTAGACTAAATTTACCATCTAACATCCATTACTTCTTTAAAGATGCCTTTTGTCAGAAAAGAGCAAAAAATTTTAAAAATCAGAAATAATGCACAATAATATAGCCATTTCTAAGCGGACTTTATTTATTTATTTGGAGAGACTCACATGAGACGCAGATATGGAGAGAAATGAGTTGAGGAAACCAAGCCAACACTTAGTCAACTCCAGATAGAAGATTTTTAGGGAGAGAAAGTGAGAAACTATATAATTTAGAGTGAGCATGAGTTATACTCTCATGTCACACAGAGATGTTGGGTATAACAAGGTATAATTGTAATTGGTATTATACATACATTGTTTATTTTTCTTTTATGTAATATATCTTAAAAATAAGAAAGCATGATTAGCCTAAGATAGAGCTACCTTGATACTTAACCCATTCGAAGAAAATTGAAGAGTTATTCACAAACTTTAACTAATTAATGATGGTGGAGAAATTTCAATTTGTGTTGTACAAACTAAAAAGAGCGAGGAAACATAGAACCATTTGGATAACTTGAGATTCACTTCCTTCAAGAGCCTTAGGGCAAGTTCAAGGGTTCAACATATAATCCGGTGAAATCCGAATACCTGAGTTATTAATAAAAATAAATAAATAAATGATGTGTTGATCAACCAGCTGCACTATTCTTACTTCCCATTTGGATGGTATCCTTATTAAAATCAATTGGTGACAAGTAAGTGGTGAACTAGTTTCGAATCAAGCAAGGCTGAACTCGGTTGACCCGATCACCCAACAATCCCCCTCCCTTGAGGTTACACATCCTGTAAGTTAAGCACGCTTAATCACAGAGTTGGTTATCTGGTTGTTATATCATTTTTAATATGCAGCTCTTATTGATTTTGAAATCTCGTGGTTACCAAGCTAACTGTGGAACCACCTCAAGGGGATGGGAACTGTATAGAACTGTATTGAATAAACTGTATAGAACTGTATCTCCTTAAAGTTCCAACTCCAATCGTCCATTCATACCGCGCGATGGACTTCAAGATTCAAGTAATAATATCCCCATCAGCGAAAATTTAAGTGAGACCTCTATTGAGATGAAGGAGATCCGCAACAATATTTCTACTTCATTATGGGATGCTAGATCATGATTATGCTATAGTTTCATTTCAAATGTTAAATTTTAATATGTAAACTTACCTATTTAAATTTAAAACTATTTAAATTTTATGAAGATGTAAATTTTAATCTTTTTACATTTATCAACTTATCAAAAAACTAATTTACCAAATACTTTTAAGCATAATCAGCTAGCTTAACATACGGCGCTTAAGTTTTCAGCTTCTAGCTTATAACTTTTCAGCTTTTAGCTCCCTTTTCAACTAGGTTTGCCAAACATAGCCTAAAATGATAAAGTTAGAAAAGCTGCTCAAAAAAATTTTTTCAATTAACTTTTTGAGAAAAGAAATTATATCAAAAACTATCAACTAACATCTAATTTACCAAACACATTTCTACCATCAGCTAATGTTATCAACTAGTCATACCCTTTAACTCAATCAGCTAATAGCTATGAGCTAACTGTCATTTACCAAACAAGGCTTATGTTGTGAATCATGCCCAAAACAGATGGCTAATTTGGTCTCATAGTACGTGTAGCAGTCGTGTCTTCAATTCAGAAATATTTGGGTGTACAAACCCGGCCTTCAATTCTATTCCACCCTGTTGCTGGCAATCTGGCATTTGAAAAGATAAAGTCATATGGGGACAACCCAACTAAGTTGGTTAGACTCTTTACTTGATAACTTACAAGGTTATATGTTTGACTTCTAACAGGACGACCTATTGACTTTCTTGATTTGAGTGAATCAGTTAAGGGCAAGTGGCATGCAACTTAGGACTGATTTACCTCATTGAATTGTAGTCTTTTGTCGGCTAAAATCACATGGTGGTTTTACCAAGTGCAATAAAAAATTTTAATTAAAAATGATTATAGTCACATGTAGATGATAATTTGATAAGCATAGATGGAATAAGTAGTAGTGCATGGTTGCGTTCTTCATGGATCTTATTACTAAGTTGCTTCATCAAATCATGTGTTCTCATTAATTGCAAGCACCGCTCCCAAGAATTCATCACGATTCCACCTACGTACATGTCCCTGCAGTACGCCACTTCCCCTTCTCCGATCCTTAGATCCAAATCAACCAATTTGTTTAATAATTCAACCAACACTATATATATGTGTACATGCCGGACTATGTAATATGTTGTCTTCCTCGAACTTGATAATTAGAGTGTAAAGATTACGTTGTAGACATGTTTTTTAGGTGCATATTTTTCCTTTCACTATTCGTGCATCTTTGGTTGGTGCGTCCTAGCTCCGCGGCCTACAATGTGGTTAGCTACGGTGCTAGAGGGGACGGCAGGACGGACTCTACGGCGGCGTTCCACCGCGCATGGGCGGCGGCGTGTGGCTCGACTAGGCCGGCCTCGGTTTACGTGCCCCGCGGGTACTTCTTGATACGCCCGGTGTCGTTTAACGGGCCGTGCCGGAGTAGGATGGAGTTCCGAGTCGACGGCACCATAGTTGCTCCGGACAACAATATTTACGCCATTGGGAATTCGCAGTTTTGGATTTTGTTTTATAAGGTCAATTGGCTGTCGGTCTATGGTGGCACCATTGATGCTAAAGGGCATGGTTTTTGGGCATGTCGAAAGAATGGTCGCAACTGCCCCGGTGGCGCCAGAGTATGTACTCATTAAACATAAAACTTTTATCTTTTAATTCACAGGTCTGTTTAAGCTACTAATAAGTTATAAGTTATGTTTTGTAATGTTCTCATAATAAGGTATATTCTGCAGTGATTAGTTTTGATTTATTTTATGCATGCAGTCATTGACAATTATGCACTCAAGCAATGTGGTGGTGAGTGGGCTAACATCACTCAACAGCCAAACAATTCACATTGCGATTGCTTACAGCAGCCATGTGAGAGCTCAAAATGTGAAAATCATAGCCCCAAGTGGAAGCCCCAACACGGATGGGATCCATGTGCAGAACTCAATGGGTGTGACAATCACTGATAGTACCATAAGGACTGGCGATGACTGCATCTCCATAGGTCCAGGCTCCATGAACTTGTGGATTCAGAAGATTGGCTGTGGCCCTGGCCATGGCATCAGGTATTAGACTCGATCCTGGGTCATTGTTACCAAACTTCACCTCTGTGACCAATTAAGCTGTCAATGCGGGCTGAGTACTGATTTTTCATAATATGTGCTTACATTGTTGTTCTTGAATTGGTTTATTATAGTATAGGAAGTCTAGGAAATAGCAACAACGAAGAAGGGGTGCAAAACGTGACAGTGACGAACACAGTGTTCACAAAAACCCAAAACGGCGTGAGGGTGAAGTCATGGGCAAGGCCAAGTGGTGGCTACGCAAGAAACCTAATCTTCAAAAACCTCATCATGAGAAATGTTGGCTACCCTATCATCATCGACCAAAGATACTGCCCAGATGGCTCCTGCCCCAATCAGGTTTATTACCATTTAATGTTTAGTGGAAAATAATAATGTGTGTGAAATACTATGAAATGTTTTGGATGCAGAATTCAGGTGTTAAGGTTAGCGGGGTTACATACAGTAACATCAAAGGGACATCCTCCACACAAGAAGCCATTAAGTTCGAGTGCAGTTATAGCAACCCATGTCGTGGAATCAAACTGCAAGACATAAAACTCACTTACGTTAATCGCCTGCGCAGGCCCACTCTCACCTATTGCAAAAATGCAAGAGGAAGCCACAGTGGCATTGTCACCCCCAAAAGTTGTTTCTGACCAACACACAAAATACAAACTTATTATTAACCTTTGCTTTCATCGACATCTTGTCGTGTACATATATTTCTCCAAACTACCTCTGAACCAAAATCGAAAAAAGTATGAATTTGACCTTATTATGGTGGTGTACAAACATTTGGAGATTTGTCTCTCGATATTTATCTCCATCACTTGTCTCCGAAGCATTTCTTATAGCTTCAATTATTGATGATTGAATTGAAGCTCTTGTTACATGCAACTTTACTACTTTAATCATGTGGAGGTTTAATTTGTTCTGCAACATCATAAAAAGTCAAGTCTAATGAAATAAAATGTTGATTATATTCTATTTAGAGAGTCAGTAAATATAATTGGTTATTCTATTTGCAATATTCAAACTTTAAATTTTACTTAAAAAGATCAAACCAAATTCATTTCGATCATTCAAATAATGGATAGATAAAAAGCATTTTCCAGGTCGGCAATACAAAAGCGCCCAGCTAAGAAGGTAGTGGTTAGGCAACAAGGGAGAGGGAAACATGCAAATACGTTGAATCACATGCCCACATGCTTTCTTCTTTTTTTTGGCATTATTTATATACTATTCTGGTCCAATATGAATTCAACTTATGCACCAATTAGGTCGTCATTCTAACCACAATAATAGAAAAATCAATACCGTTACGAAATAAAACAACATACAAGTGTTACGTTGTACGTTCGGTGCCCACATGGACTGTACTTCGGTTGCTTGTTGTGGAATAGTGTTTTGTTAGTTTTTAACCAAATAAATGAAATAGTTTTTAAAAAATAAATTAGAATATAATACGTAACTGTAGATAAGAGATTTCATATGTCACCGTATCTTACTCTGGTTGCTGACCAAAAAAAAAAAAAAACTATGAGTATCTTGATAATCTAGTTGGAAAAATATTATTGGTAATGATTTTTAATCTTATATAATTATATATGAAATACATAATGCATGGTACAAGGTCTAATTTTTTCTTTGCTCTATTACAATGTAATATCTGAGGCTCGAACTTACAACCTTTCAAATGGAAGTCCAACCCGGGTACCATTAGACCACATAGTCCTAATAAGTACAAGGTCTAATTGATACTTTAAAAATTTTAAAATTAACAAACATTAATTATTAATTTATTATAACTATATAATTCTGGTATTGTCAGGATCATGTGTATGTTTATTACTGTGTCAAAAGTTGAGTTAATACCAGCTAAAGTCCTCCGAGTATAGTGGCAGCGTCACATTTAGTCCTAAACTTTTAATTTAACCACCTATGGTCCTTTGATTTTCAAATTTAACCACCCGTAGTCAGGGACGGAGCCAAAGGGGGGGCAAGGGGGGCAGCTCCCCCCCCCCCCCTCACCCCAACCCCACCCCCACCCCATATATAATATTTATATGTATATATGTATATATAGTATAGGTTTTAGTATTAGTATAAAAAAACTACTAAATGTTAACAAGTAAGGAGTTAGATTAGGTGGTAAAACATGTGTTTGGTAATAGGGAAGGTTGTGGGTTCAAATCCTTGCATTAACATGTTTTATATATTTTTGAGTCATTCCCCTATGGCTTCAATACAGTCACTTTTTTAATATTTAATGTATTTTCTATTGGGGCCTTTGGCCCTTCCCCCTACCAAAATAATAATAATAATAATAATAATAATAATAATAATAATAATAATAATAATAATAATGTGTTTTCTATTCTAATTATTTTATCAAATTAATTATGTTTCATATTTTGTTATGAATATTTTTATAAAGTTTCGATGTGTTTTATTTTTTCGCACATATCTAACAATATTTACAACTATATTTCTTAGGTAATGGTTATTAAAAATAATAATAATAATAATTCTTAGGTAATTTTTTTTTTAATTATCTCTTTTGTTTTAATGTTTCGCTTTTACTGAAAAAAATTTCTGAATCCGTCCTACTTCTTTGCCCCCCCTCAATCGAATTTCTGGCTCCGTCCCTGCCCGCAGTCCTTTCATTAGATTAAGGGCAAAGTTAGGACCATAAATGGTTAAAATTTTGAAAGTTGAAGGACCATTATATTAGTGGGTGAATTGAAAGTTTAAGGACCATAAATGGTTAAATTTGAAAGTTGAAGGACCACGGCGGTTAAATTGAAAGTTTATGATTAAATGTCATAACGTTACTATACTCGGAGTACCCTAACTGATATTAACTTGTCAAAAGTTATAATTAGTAAGAAAGGTGAACCTTTATTTTGTTATACTTGCTTAGCTACCAAAGTCATATTTCAATGATAGGATGCTAGACTGGGTCACCCAATTAAGTAACAAATATTATTAGTTCTTATATAGGTAGCAATGACAATTAAGAAACGAAGAAACGCAAGACATGAAATGCAAAATAAACAAAGAAATAGGGTATTAGTATACAGACCAAATTTTTGTTTACCATCCAACGTGTAAATAAAGTTATTTTTATTCATTACTGTCTCCATCTCATTTTATGTGTCGGGTTCGGTTAACGATGTTTGACTGGAGTTATTTATCATTTAATTTTTCATAATATTAAGTTAAGAATTAACCAAGACTATGTGGTCTAATGGTACCCGGGTTGGACTTCCATTTGGAAGGTTGTGAGTTCAAGCCTCGGTAGAGGCAATATTGGTTCTTTGTGTTTCAATAGGTTGAGAAAGCATATGAACAGATAATACATTGTAATATAGCCAGCCGCATGTTGGTTCGACCAATGAATTGTAAGTATGGGACGGCGTATAGTTACCAGGAATTAGCTATTATTTATTTATTAAATAGAAATCATATATTCATGTATTAGATCGTGAAAGGTTTTGGTAAAAATACTTGGTCCTTGTAGATGTCTATAAATATTTTTATTTAAATATGCACAAGTATTGACTATCAATTTAATAAACTAACATAGTTGGTGTGGTGGTTCAGCACTTCGTCCCTTAAGCATGAGGTTGGGGGTTCAATCCCCACCCAAGTGAATGGAGCAAACCTAGTCCCCTACCACTAAAGCTAGGAGCTGTTATGATTGAAAGGTTTTTGGCCAGTCCCCTATTCGGCAAATCTAGTTGAGAAGGAGCTGTTATGATTGAAAGGTTTTTGGCCAGTCCCCTATTCGGCAAATCTAGTTGAGAAGGAGCTGTTATGATTGAAAGTGTTTGGTAATAAGACTAGGAGCTGTTATGATTGAAAGTGTTTGGTAATAAGACTAAAAAGGACATCTAATAATAATAATAATAATAATATTTGCAGATAAAGGAGAAGAGAAAATAATAATAATAAAAGTTAGGAAGCTAGGAGCTTATTTTATGAACATTATCAAACTGAGCTTATAACTTATTAGGAGTTTAAAATATGCAATAAGCTCCGCCAAACAGAGCCTTAGGCAAAAATTGACTATCTAATAATTTCTTTTAGAAAATACATGTTTAAAAATTCGTAATTAGAAAAAAAAAAAAAAAAAAAAAAAAAAAAACTACTCTATCACATTTTATGAGCTTTTTAACTTTTTATAAATTTCGTACCAGGAAATTTTTTTGCCCATCATAGGTACTTGTGAACATCTAATTATTTTTTCAAAAGGCTGAACCCCAACATCTAATTATTAATTAATATGTAAACAGAAATTAATTATTTATGGGCATGATTAACATATATTATTAATTAATAATAGTAGTTATTATCTATCATATATATATTTCATATTATTTAATGCAATTAATTTTGGTAATAAAAAATACTTACTATATTAATGTATACTAATTCAATTCAAACCTGTGCTAGTGTGTGGTGTACTTATAAGTGTTCTTTGGTACACTTTTGAGTGATACATGGTAAACTTGATTTGTAGTGCACTTAGTATTGTACCACTTGATAGGGGTCTTAAACCCGTCGACGAGTTCAATGGACCTGTTAGCGAGTTCAATAGACCCGTTGGTCGAATAGTACTACTCAACGAGTCTATTGAACCAATGTCTTTCCCTTTTTGATGGTGCACCATAGAGCATTCAAAAGTACATCACATAACATTCATAAATGCACCACTGAAATATACATGGTATTTTTCTCTTTTGTTTGATTTACTTAAAATGTCACTGTATTTTTCTCTTTTGTTTGACTTTCAGCCACTTGGTTGTGCATCATAGATCACTCATAAATGCACCACTCATTTGCACTTAATGCATAACTAGAACATACATGATTGACAAAATTACAAAATTATCACCACGTTTTTTCTCCTCTTAATTGATTTCCATAGGTCTAGTACGAGCTCATTCTACGGTTTTGATATGTCCGCATGAGAGAGCAGAGTCGCACCTAAATCAATATATATATATATATATATATATATATATATATATATATATATATATATATATATATATATATATATATATATATGAAAATAGAAAATAGTTTATACACGTAAAGAGAAAATGGCAGAAATTTCTGCTTAAATTATGGACCATATAAAGCATTAGATATGTATCTTCCCACGTGATAGTCTAAACATTCTTGACTTGACAATGAAATCATAAATCAGCAGAAATGAGTAATTTTGAGATCAGATACGGATCACTTATTTCCATAAATCATATCAAAAGACACTTAAGGACGATTGTTAGTTAAACGTTGAAAATTGGTAAACCTTCTTCTTCATTGTATCATGATTTGTCTATGATTTTATAAACCAAACTGTTCGTTCTTTCCCTATAAATACCCTTTCATCTTCTTCACCTTCTCATCACCAATCCCCTTTCTCTCTCTCTCTCTCTCTCTCTCTCTCTCTACGATACATACAATATAATCCATCATCATATACATACAAAGTTACAAACATGGCAGTCTCCAAGCTTTGTTTCTCAGTTGTCATCACCTTCATCTATGTAACATTTGCATCAGCAGGCAGTGGTAGCTACAATGTCCAGAGCTATGGAGCGAAACCCGACGGCAAGACTGACTCCACCAAGGCGTTTGTGGCCGCATGGGCGGCTGCGTGTGCCTCCACCGTTCCGGCCACCATTTACGTGCCGGCAGGAAGGTTCTTGGTTGGGAGTTTGAGTTTTGGGGGGCAAACATGCAAGAGCAACGCCATTTCGTTTCAAATAGATGGCACGCTCGTGGCTCCATCTGATTACAATAATGTGGTTGGAAAGAGTGGGAATTGGATCAAATTTGAAAAGGTCACCGGAGTTTCCATTTCCGGCGGAACCCTAGACGGCCAAGGCGCCGCTCTTTGGGCGTGCAAAAACTCCGAAAAGAATTGCCCTCAAGGGGCTACGGTACTTACTATACCCAAACAAACTTCAACCATATATATATGAAAAATCATAATCTTTTCCTTTTTCTAACTTTTGATGATGGCACATATATATGTACAGACACTGGCTTTTTACAACTCAAACAACATTGTTATTAGCGGACTAAGTTCCCAAAACAGCCAAATGTTTCACATCCTCATTTACGGCTGCCACAACGCCAAGTTACAAGGAGTGAAGATCTCGGCTCCCGGAGACAGTCCCAACACCGACGGAATCCACATTCAATCCTCGTCAGGTGTAACAATCTTGAATTCTCACATAGGCACTGGTGACGACTGTATCTCCATCGGCCCCGGCAACTCTAACTTGTGGATCGAAAACATTGCCTGCGGCCCCGGCCACGGAATCAGGTCAGTCAAAAACATTCTTAAACTATTTTATATATGCCAGCCATGCCATCTTATGAATCTTTAATTTGTTATATATGCTTGTGTATGTGGTCGTGCGCAGCATTGGGAGTTTAGGTTGGGAAACAGAAGAGGCTGGAGTGCAAAACGTGACAGTTAAAACCGCTACTTTTACCGGCACTCAAAATGGGTTGAGGATCAAAACATGGGCAAGACCCAGCAATGGGTTTGTGAGAAACATTGTTTACCAACACGCAGTCATGTCGGACGTACAAAACCCCATCATCATCGACCAAAATTACTGCCCTGACGGCAAAAACTGTCCTCACCAGGTCAATTAAATTCCAAAACCTTAAAAACAACTAACGAATTGAAAACATACATAGAGAAAATGAAATCTTAATTATATTTATATGACAGAGCTCGGGCGTGAAGATCAGCGGCGTAACGTACGAAGACGTACATGGTACATCGGCGACGGAAGTGGCGGTGAAATTCGAGTGTAGTAAGACAGAACCGTGCAGCGAAATAGCGGTGGACTATGTAAACCTCACATACAAAGATGAGAAGGCTGAAGCGTCCTGCGTTAACGCCGGTGGGACCAGTTCCGGTTTGGTTCAGCCTGTAATTAGCTGCTTCTAGGCCGCCGCCGCCCTTATTATTTTTGGATTCATAGTTAATACTGTAGTTTATCACTAGAGATTAGCTTATACGTTTATAACTACACTAAAACAATATTATTATTATTATTTTTATTAGGTTTGTTTGTATTAGAATAATGGAATTATATATAATCAATAATATTCAATTAATTATTAATTACTAATTATTTCTACAAGAATTACCCTTCAAATTGTTCTACTTTACTTAAATAACTTCTTTTGTCTTCTTTTCATCAAGATATTAGACCTAGTCTGCAAACCTTTGCCTAACAACTAGTCATAAATTTATCAATTTAAAAAAATTACTAACTATACGTATATGGTAATGGTTATATCTTTTGAATAATTATTTCATTTTTAAGGAATATAATCCTAAAGTTTATTCTTCAATTATATTCCATTTTGGAATAAGATTTGTATTTTTCTTTTCTAATTTTACTCCTTAAACAAATTAAAACATGTTGTTTACGCGACCCTCATCTAGCGGAGGCTATGACAGTTAATTAAGGAAATTGAACTTTATCTTGGACTATGGACTGTGGTTAGTGTAAAGTGGTGATTTTTTTTATTGTCAAATGGTTTGCTCGTTGTTAAAGTCGGCCTCTCCAAATCTATCTTATACAGGTTGTGTTCTCAAGAATGTCTTAACTCTTAACCTCAAATGACATTTTGAGTCTGTGTCGTTTAATTTTGTTTTTAGATCATCATGCCTTAGCAAGAGCTGCTTCTTCACAGTCTAGGTGTTGGTTTACCATTTATCCTACTTGTATAAACTTGCTCATGCCTTAAAAAGAGCTCCGTGTGTTGGTTTACCATTTATCATACTTGTATTCAATATTTGATTATTAATAATTAATTCTCTCTTTTTTTTTTTTTTTGTTTTGAAAAAAATTAAAACATGTTGGTAATATATATACCAATTAAAGAATATTTAATGTTTATCTTAAAATTAGTTCATTCGCATAAGCCCGCAAGTAAACATTACAAACCTAAAATTTAATGGTTTATAAAAGGTCGGGTCTAATATCCTATCATTAATAATTGAATATATGATGTTGACAATTACGCAAGTATAATAAAATAAAGTTGTGCCTCAATCCTAAGGGTCTACACTGTTCTACCTAGTGATCGACTTGGTGAATGAAATAAATCGTGAAATATTTCTAAATTAATCTGCATGATGCATTATAGACCGTTATACCATGGACCGGGGTAGAGATGTCAATTCAGCCCTGAACCAATGGGCAGGCCCAATAAGCCCTAAAAATTGCAGGGCTAAAATCCAAAAAGATCAATTCAATAAAAAAGTAAGTTCATTAGGTTGGTCCTATTGGGTTATTGGATTGAGTTGGGCCAACTCATGGATTGTTAAGCTGGCCCGTGTAATATCAAATCATTATTGGATGGACCATAGTCCATACAACTTGTATGGACCATGAATATAGGGTACATTTTTAATATACTAAATGTACATTATTTGTGTATTAAAGGTACATTATTTAATAGTATATATAAAATAATGTACTTTTATACACTACACACACTGTATACACACACACACACACTATATATATATATATATATATATATATATATATATATATATATATATATATATATATATACACTACACACTAACACACACACTGTACACACACGACACTATATATATACACTACACACACACTGTATATATATATACACACTACACACACACAATATATATATACACTACACACACTGTGTGTGTATACACACACTGTGTGTGTATATATATATACAGTGTGTGTGTAGTGTATATATATAGTGTCGTGTGTGTACAGTGTGTGTGTTAGTGTGTAGTGTATATATATATATATATATATATATATATATATATATATATATATATATACATATATAGTTATGAACCAATTATATTTGTAATAAAAATTTTGTTTAGTGATTTATTAGCCCGTTGGATTAGCCCAACAACCCGTTGTTTAGGGTTAGGGCCAACCCAACTCAAAAATAAAAAATAAATAACCATTTAGTCCAAGCCAACAAGTCCACCAACCCTGTAGGACTAGTCCAAAATCCAACGGGCTGGCCCATTTGACATCCCTAGACCGGGGTCTATCTTGACCTGAGTCAAGATACACAATTTATATACTGAATGTTCACAATTTACATATTGAATGTTCACAATTCAAATTGTGAACATTCAGTATGTAAACTGTGAACATTTAGTGTATACAATTGTGAACATTTAATGTGTAAATTGTGAATATTCGGTATGTAAATTGTGAACATTCAGTATGTAAAAATTATGAACATTTAGTATGTAAATTGTGAACATTAAGTATATAAATTGTATATTTTTAGATCAAGTGGATCCACAGAATAATTTGCCACACACTATTGAACCCTGCACCATGAGGCTAGCTACTAGCAAAATAAAGCTATGACCATATTTTATTAGTTTGTTCAACAAGAGGAGTTGTGTCCCTCGACTAGTAAAGATAGATTTATAAGTTTTTATAACTTGTAATTGAGTGAACATGCACTCACTACTCCTTAAATGTTTTTGAACAATTAAATTCAGTTCAGAATGTGTTATAAGTAGTGATCTCATTTTGTTTTAAAAAAAAAAAACATTTTTTTTGTAAATGTGAATATGTTTTATACATTTTGGATAGAATTTAATTAGTCCATGTAAACAAGTCAAGAGATTTAGTATAGCAAAATTACCAACCAAAAGTTAAAAATATTATATTGTTATATATAATTGATAAACTAAAATGAATATTAATATTTTGATTTACAGGAAAGTTGCAGCACGTTGCGCGTGCACTCTAGACCCAAGTTCTTCATAACTAACCAACTAAAATCAAGAGTTTCATAGATAACTCTCAATAAAAAAATTTAATTAAAATATTATAGTTATCAATCTATCCAATCAACTTAATAGGAGTTGCCACAAAAGAATAGTAATATTCATCTTGTGCTGGAAAGAGTAATATAATGTGGCATTAGTTATTGCATGGGAATTGAGATAGGGCAGGGAAATCATAAATGGCAACGCAACAAGATCTGAAGACAGCCGACAAGCATGGTCAAACGTTTGTTCCCTGGTTTTCTGTTGCATTATATTATATATATTATCGACAAATCTTATTGGCCAAAGATGAATAATATTCGTGCAATCACACTCGTGAATGAGTACGCCAGCCATGCCTTGTTTACTTGCATTCGTGCATTTCTGTTAGACACACATGCATCACCATTATTATCATCATCATATCCTACTAAGATTTCCAATTTCCTCTCATCTGTTTGGCCAACAACATACATACATACATACATACATACATACATACATACATATATATATATATATATATATATATATATATATATATATATATATATATAAACACAACAGATGAAATGTACAAATTCACTAAAAAACACACAACACACTAAAAAATGCACTATATAACTCTCCACCCCTAATGGTGTATTTCCGAACATTGTGTGGTGTTTTTATTCATACCTAATGGTGCGTTTTTGGTGATCCGTACCTAATTTGTGCATGTTTTTTGTTGTGCATTTCCTAACATGGATAGTTTATATTTGTATAATTCGCGCGGCCGCACATGAACTCGACTATAGCCCTGTTTGGTAAAAAATTGGCCTATAGGTCATTTGGCTTATTTGATCACCATTAATTGTTTGATTTAGTTAAAATATCAATATAAATATTTAGTTAATTAGCTTTTTGCAACTTCAAAAGGCTAAAATTCAAAAAGCTACTCCAAACAACTTTTTCAATTAGCTTTTTGAGAAAAAAAATTATACCAAACAGCTATCAGCTAACAGCTAATTTACCAAACACTTTTCTACAATCAGCTAATGTTATTAATTATTTATACCATCTAATTAACACAATCAACTAACAACTAACAGCTATCAGCTAACAGCCATTTTACCAAACAGGGCATATATATATATATATATATATATATATATATATATATATATATATATATATATATATATATATATATATATATATATATATATATATATATATATATTGATGGATAGCATACTAGGCCTGAGCCACATGGACCGGCCCAAGTAAGTGACTGGATCAAGAAAGCCTAAGAAAGATATACGATGCGGAGCAACTCAATAGTTTTATAAGGATTGGGCCTATTACTCCCAATATAATTAGAATTGAACTCATTATTCCTAGTATAGTAGAATTAGATCTTATTATTTCCAATGTAACACAGACTCCCAATATGAGGCAGTCTAGAACTCTTATTCCTTGTAGGGCTCTAGGCCCAAAATATGTATAAATAGACCCCTTACATAGAGGAGGGGGAGGAACAACTTTCAACGATTCACCAACAATACTCTCCAATACAAAGTTCCTATAATTTCTCCATATATTTTTCCTATATTCTCGTTATTCTAACGGTAGTGTTGGCTTGCCGTTGACTGCCAAAAAGTAATAAAACCAACATTGGCGCCGTCTGTGGGGATCGATAAGAAAAGTTTACGTTCGTCCCTCAAACCTAAAGCACACGATCGAAACCCTAATCATGGGGAGCACCCGCCGTAACACCCGCACTGGCTGGTCCATTCGGGATCTGTGAGAAAACCTCAATCGGCCTACCTCTCGCATGTTGTTCAGTCGGTCAGTGCCTCCGAAGGGAGGTGTCAACCTGGAAAATCCTCGAGAAGAGGGGACAATTCATCCGAGCACACGCTCACCGGTCGCTGGCGTCTCACAGACCCAACCGGTCGAACTTCCTCCCACTGTAGTGGAGGCCGCTGAGCACTTCCTGGGAGTCTTGCAGCGTGACTGCATACTGAGAAGCGAGTCCCCACTGGACCCCCCTCGTCAATATCATTCGGATAGAACTAACAACAGGGACAGATCTCTCGAGAGAACGCAGGGATCTGACCCATCCAGAGAGCATCGCCTCACGGTTTCAATCCTTGACCGCCTAGGACTTTCAAGCCAACGACTCCCCACCCCACGACTGGGACAGGACAACCCAACAGTTAAACGATCGCAACGGAAAACAAGGCTCAACCCTCAACGACGAGCGAGAGCCGCTCAAATGGCATTCCTCCGCGCGCA